CCGGACGAACCTGGAGCAAAAACTGATATTACATGCTATTAGATAATAGCCATCCGACCACCCCGACTACTATTTTGTGACTACGATCACCTAACTAAGGTCCTCCAACCATTATTACTCGACTACGGCCCTTCGACCAAAGTCGCCCGTCTAAAGTCTCCTGATCATCGTGGCTCAACTTTGGTTCTCTGAACACCATCAATCAACTTCGATCATCCAATTACCATCACCCAACAAAACACTTTCGTCCAAACTGTTATAGCCCGATTATGATCTCTCGACCCCTATCGCCCAACTTCAATCTCCCAAACACCATCACCTGTTATAATCTCTCAACAATCATCATCTGATTATAGTCTTCTGACCCCCTTCATGTGGCGTAGGTCCTTTAACCATTGTCACCAGACTATAGTCCTCCGATCGTCGTTAGTTGATTGCGATCTTCGAAACATTATCGCATGGCTTTGGTCCTCCAAAACACCATCACCCAATTATAATCATCCAACCCTCATCACTGAACTTTGTTTGCTCCAACCATCATCGTCTGACTACGATCCTCCGAGTATTGTCCAACTATGGTCTCTCAACCTCCATCGCCTGGCTACAAATTCATAACCTCCATCGCCCAACTTTGATCCTCTAATCACCGAACATTACTATAGTTCTCTTACCGCCATTGTCTTAATACGACTATGTGACTACAATCACCCAACTACATTCCTTTGATCACTGTCATCAAATTATACCCCTCAGACCATCATCTTATGACTATGATCCTTCGATCATTGTCACTCAACTATAATCTTCCAACCATCGTTGCCCAACTATGGTCCTATGATCATCATTTCTTGACTATAATCTTTTGACTACTATCGTCTGATTTCGCTTACCCTAGTTTACGTCAATGCATGCTACTTCTAACAATGTGAACACATGTCATCATGTATTAGGTTGATGCACTCCGCAATCTTAAACGCTGGCGCATGTTAACTTAGTCACCAATATCATCGATGCATGTCATTGCATATAATATTGATGCATCCCATCAATGCTACCTCTGACTTCTAACGTTGACCCCAAGATTTACACTAAACATTTTGATCTCTCTCCATACAAATAACAAAAAATCTTTTAAATACAACTCAATTGGGACAAGACACATGATTTATATTTGCTATATTTTAATGACATTTTTCCCATCTTGCAAAAGAGGATAATTTGTGACCCATTATAAACATTGTGGTCTATGTCCCATGATTCTTTTATTTTTTCATTGTTTTACCTATAATTATCATTTTACTTGCGACTCTCTCTTTTTTTTTTGTGCGTGTTAAATTTTCGTAAATAATTTTTTCTCTCTACTGCCGCAAATTTTTTGGCATAAAGCACCAAATCAAATCAATATTTGATTTCAAAATTTTAGCAATATTTAAGCAAAACTCAATCTTCCTTATCAGTTCAACTTATCATATATAATCACTAACACAGATGAAAACAGCACTATTACTGAAAGCTTTTTTATTGCTATTATTATTTTAAGTGATTGTTCTATTGAGCATTTTATTTTTCATAGAAAAGGTGAAGAAATTGTTACTATAAAATTAATCCATTAAGTAGTTTCAAAAACACTTCAGCAATTTTTTTTATGAAAAGCTGCCCTTTTCTTTTTTTGAAACAGCTTTATGCTGATTTCCATAAAATAGCTAAAAATATATAATCAAATTAACCTTAGCTGCTAAATCTTATAATTTGTTTCTTTGAAAGCCAAACACACCACGAGCTTAGGTGGGTTGGTGGGCGAGAATAGTTGGGAACCCTCAAACTCATATTTGATTACTCTCTCATGCGGCACGGCCTCTTAAGTGGGTAGAAAACAACTGCGGGTCATACACCTATTGGGCTGATTGCTGGTAGGCTTGCTGAGGAATTAGTTACGCCGCCTAGCATCTCTTATGAAGATGGCGGAGGTAGATACCCCTCTAACAAAAAAAAAAAACAAACTTTTCTACTTTGGATCCCCTCAAAAGGACATAATTCCCACTTGCCATTATGTTTTGATCCAAATTGTGTTACTTACAGATTGCACTCACAAGCTCTCAATAATTTTCACAATGTGAAAAATCACCAAATTAAACTTGCAGGTTGGTGATCTTTCTCAATCCAAGCAAACCACCATAAAAAAAATGAAGAAAATAAAAAAGAGAGATCAAAATGGTCTTCTCTCAAAGATCAAAATGATCTCCAACTATTTAAAAGTCTCGTTTTAATCGCTTGAATCACATAAGGACTAATTTAATCCTTATTTAAAGAGTGAAGGGATCAAATCGATACTTCTATATATTCAAAGATTATATGATCCTTCTGAAAAAGTTAGAGAACCAATTTGATCTTTTTCTATATATGCATCAAAGAGGAAATCATTGTTGGAGAAAATCTACAAGCATTGACAAAGGAACCAAGCAGAGCCCCTTCTTCTTCAGCTCTGTAAGCTCCCTTGAGCCATCTGCAACACCCAAATCATCAAAAACTTCCCTCTTCATCTCTGCACAATTCTCACAATCCTTCACCTTCTACAAAAATCAAAATTAGAAACCTTATTAATCTCAAATAAGCCTTATTTATCTCACAATAATAATATCAATAACAAACTGTAATAAGATTCACCTCAGAAATGCTTCTGATATCATCCTTCTTCCCTTTGTTCACCTCCAGTTTATCATCCATGCCACTAACCTACTCATGAAATATACTATCAGAATCATTAAATTATGCTCTGTAATCTGTATTTATCTTCCATATATGCTGCCATTATTGTTTGTCTAACAGAAGTTATCAAAAAAAATATAAGAAAATACTAACAGTTGGGCTGTTAGCAGGTGAGCTTGCAGTATCTTCTAAGGGATCACCATCAAAGAAGGAGACTCCCTTTGCTTTCCTCTTCTTCAAGCTTATTGTCTTGCAGCTCACAGAAGGCTCTGATTTCACTGTAACTTTTGCTGGAAAGTTAGATGCAGCATCAGAAACCATTGATGAAGTGTTTTGCTCTTTCTGCTCTTCCTTCTGAGAAGCAAGAAACTCTTCAAAATATACAGTCCAGCCACTCTCTAAAGAAGAAGAAGAAGAAGAATTAATGGAGAACTTCAGATCTCTATTAATGGAGGATTCAGTTGATTCCTCCATTAGAATGGAAGGGAGCAGTTGCAGAAAAGCTCTGGTGGCTTTTATACTGCAATTCTTGAAGAAGAAGAAGAAAAATGAGTAGATGGATGAGAAGAGATAATTTTAATTTAATT